ATTATTGCTGGTTACTGTCAATGATGCATAGAGAGTACAGCTTGATTTTCAATGCCTAACCCTGAAGAAGACAATCAAATACTTGTTTTGACTATTTAAGATGACCAGAGTTGACACAGAAGTCACAAAGAAAAAAATCTCACAGAGGGAAAATATCTTTGGCCTGATTTAGCATTCTCAAATATAAGTTACAAGCTCAGAGTGCAGAATAAAGATCGTTCAAGGACAAAGTCCAGGCCCAAATTCATGGCTGAAGATGAGTTCCAGGGAGGAGAGGCCTCCAGTAAGAGAGAAGAAGTGATTGGTTACATGATGTGGGCATCTTTTGCAATCCCATTTAATACTAACTACTACGTAATATACAAATGAGCCAAAAAACGCTAAAGTTACTCTTTGTAGAAGGAGTGAGGTTCCCTCCCTCTGGTTCTTCCGAGATCTGGTTTAGGAGGCCCACACTTCCTGTGAGAGTTCCTGTGCTATTGGCGCACCTGGGTCCATAGGCCTTGCAGCACTGTTAAGACCATGGCAACTGAAAGGTCAATTAAGTAATGAACTTTAATATCAATAAAAGTGGCTTGCAAAAACGGTATTTTAGCAGACCAAAACAATTGTGGTAACACTTAATCTAGTTTATTCTAGGCCTTGTGGAGATTGAATTTTAAAAATCTGAGATGAAGGCCCCTAATTTCAATAATGAACTGTAGCCAACAGAAGAAGCACGTCTACAATATCACAACAAGTTCCATTAATGATTCAGAAATATCTATTTCACATAGCCTAGCCTGGAGGCACAGCCCAGAGATGGGAGCCACATGGCTGACCATGGATTCAGATCCCTGAGTTGGCCTATAAAACTATCAGGCATGTACATGTGTGTTCAGGACCCTGAGGAGCTGGAGGGCTACAGAAAGAGGACTGTGGAATGACCACCCCCTGAGGAAGGTGCTTCTCAATCCTGTACATGCACGTGCTATCTGAAAAAATAAATTTTAAAAGAATATAGGTCTCACAGAAGCATTTCCTAAAAACATCATTTCAGAAAAATTAGGAAAGATGCTGTTACTTTTTCTGCTACATTTGCTAAAATCATCCTTTGTCCATTTCATTACCTTTAACATCGTCTATAGTAGTCTGGTCCGTAATGTCTAAATCAATGAAGAAATCCTGTCAATGACTTGGACCCAGTGCAGAGAACATGAAAAGCAGCTCAGTATGTCTAGTATACAACTCTCGTCTTCAAACATTCCATCTGCCCCAAATATCTTTTTAGGATCTTTAACGTGACTGGAATTATCTCCTAAGGTGACTGAAACAAGAGACCTGCCAGGGACCAGATGGTAGCAGAGGTAAAGACAATCCTACCTGGAGAAGTTCACAGTTCAAGTGAAAAGACCTCCCCAAGAATGCCAGGCACATGCTCGTGACCCAGGGCTAGTTGAAGGCCAGGGTAGAGTGCAGAGTCAAGACCCTGTTGGAGGTGCTTTTTCTGTCTCTCTCACTGATGGAGGAAATTTTTTTTTTTTTTTGAGAGGTTTTTGCTATAGGGCACATGCGCTCGCCAGACAGAGAGACATAGAGACAGAAAGCGAGAAATCACCCCCTGGGGGGATGGCCATGCCACAATCCCTTCTCCTTCATTCTCCTCTCAGGATCTGGGGCACGCACGTACATGCGCCCGGCATGAGTTTTAAGCCACCGGGTCCGGGACTCGAAACGCGGTCGACTACGTGGGAGTCCAGCGACATAGCCATTACGCTAACTGCTGGTCACATGGAGGAAATTTTTTTTAAGGGAGATTTTTGCTACAGGGTGTGTGCACTCACCACAGAGATATAGAGATAAAAAGTGAGAAACCACTCTCCAGGAGGATGGCCATGCTGCAATCTCTTCTCCTCTTGGGATTTTGGGCATGTATGCATGCACACGAGCCAGCATGAGTTTTAAACTGCCAGGTCTAGGACTTGAACCGTAGTCGACTATGTGGGAGTTCAGCAACGTAACCATAACGCCATCTGCTGGCCCCACGGAGGAAATATTTTTTAAAGTGCCAATACCTCCATTTCATCCTGAACATAAAGGACCATAGTAATCTTTCATTCTAAATGAGAGAAGGTAGATTCTATGACGACAAATGAATGCAAGATTCTATCTGAAGGCATAATTCTACTATATTCACTGTTGGGAAGAAGATGACCTTAATATAAGCATTTCTTTCTCTTGTGTTGAAATGTATGAATAGTACCTGCTGTATGCAAAAACTGTCTCAGGAAGACTTTTCTTTTTTTAAGACAAGGTCTTATCTTGCTGTGTCACAATCCTCAGCCTCCCCAGTAGCTGGGGCTGTAGGTGCACCCCATCATACCTGGCTTTGCAGGTGAACCAGGAATCAAACCCAGGCCTCCCATTGACCTCAGCCTACTGAGCAGCAGCCTCCAGGATGTGCTCCCATGTTGGCACATTTTTAATGTGGTACTTTAAATGTTGGTTTTTGTTCTTTTTCTTGAATAAACTAAGTCTCTTTCCCAATCATTTTTTTCATTACAATGGTTAATTTGTCAAGCAAACACTCTGTCCATTTTATACAGGCTAAATGTTAATCACAGCTCCCACTCCACCCCGTCAGCACCTCCTGTGTGAATGCAGACGTGCATACCAGACATGGGAGTGGCTCCATCACAGTGCACAGCCGTTGTAAGTGAATTAATCCAAATATAAGGTTTACAGTAAATGAAGTTAGGTTTATTATATATAGCCAACTACATGTATATGTGTGTGTGTGTATATATATGTATGTATATGTATATATGTCACATTTATTCTTGATGACTTGTTATCATCATCTGTTAGCCTGCTTATTCCAAACTCATATTATCAGGGTTCTTCCCCTTCTTTAAAAGTTTATTCGTTTTTTCCATGAGTCAGACATACAGACAAAGAAATAGAACCCCCAACAGAGTTGTGATGCTGTGACCCACCGCCAGGCTCAGTCGGCCCAGGATCATGGGCACGAGTGGGCCGAGCATACTCAGGGAGGTCTTTGGACAGGAACCAGAAACCTTCCCAGGAGGGTTAACCTTGCATAGTCGTCGTTTTCTACTGCTATGCCACCGTCTGGCCCCAGGGCTCCCTTTTTTAAGCTATTCATAGCTAGTCTTAAGGGCTAGGTTAGGAATATGCTAGCAACAGCATTTTTAAAGATTTATTGGATTTATTATTGGTATTATTAATATTATTATTCGCTATAGGGCACATGCAATCATGAGAGAGTGAGAGAGGGAAAATGAGAAAGCAAGTTGCCAGATCCAGGACTCAAACCCTGGCCGCCAGGTGAGAGTCCAGTGCCTTTACCACTACACCACCTGCTGGCCCTGCAACAGCATTTTCACATCAGTCCTGATGCCAAAAATGACCACAGAACTTTGTACATCTTCAAAAATTTTCGAAGCACACATAAGCAGTATCTCGCTTTCTATAATTGGATAAACACAATTATGAAACCAAATAGCAACAAACTCAAATATCTTAGCATTTAGAATATGTAAAATGTGATTAAATGAACATGCTAAAACATGCTGCACTTAGATTTGAAAATGTGCCGTCAATGTGGAATAGCACATTCAACCCTCGATGTCATGAGCCGCATCATGGTGCCTAACTGACCATCCGAGAGCAGAGACAGCTCCACCTTCACACAACTCTGGCCCTCAGAAAGAAAAGAAAGATTCCAATCACAGCATGTTTATATAAAAGTATCCTAATATAATGGTCAGATATAGCAAATATAAAAATTTACCTCCTCTTTAAACTGTTCTCTAAATTTGGCTGAATTAAGTATTTGATATAGAAATACTGACAAGGAGCAGGTATATTCTTAGGACTCTGGCAATTCCCCTGACATCCTCCTGCTTTGCAGAGTCGAAACAATGACTATCCGGGCCAGCCTGTGGTGTGTGGTTAAGGCAGCTGGCTCCCACATGGCCAACTGTGTGGCTGGGTCTCCCAGACTTGGTGGCTTGAAAAACAGGCTAGACGTGTGTGCATGAGTGCCCAAAATCCCAAGGAGAATGGAGAAGGGAGAAGGGATTGTGGTACGTCCATCCCCCCCATGGAACATGCTTTCTCACTTTTCCTTTCTCAGTCTCTCTCTCACAAGTGCACATACCCATAGCAATTTAAAAAGAACAGATTAAAAAAAAAAAAGAAAACACACACACAAAACAATGACCATCTAAAAGGAGGCCATTTCTTCCTCCTAATATTAAAACTCAGGTAAAAGCAGTCAGACCAAAAGGAAACAGAGGCATACCACAATGGAGGGAGTTTTCATATCTGACAATGCCTGAAATTTCATCCCATGCACCTAATTTAATGATAGGATTGCTATTAAAAAAAAAAAAGTAAAACACTCAAGCAAGGACATTTCTCTCCAATATAAGAAAAAAGCAGCAACTACAATGTTTAAATTTAGTCCATAATGAAATCAACATGAACTCTGATATTAAGACTGGGAAAAGACACTGGTTTGCTGTGACAATGCTCATCCCCATCCTGGGGAAGAGCGAGCCTCCTCTGTGACAATCCTACACTATCCTTCCTGTCCCAGCCTTTATCTAATTGAGAACTGGGATCTGAGTTGCCACTGAAGGATAACCAATTTCAACAATAAGCCTCAGGAATAGTTCCTTTTTACTTTTCCTTCAAAAAGATTGGGGGAACCAGCAGTTAGTGTAATGGCTATGTCGCTGGACTCCCACATAGTCAACTGCGGTTCGCATCCCGGACCCGGTGGCTTAGAACTCACGCCAGGCGCATGTGCGTGCGTGCCCAAGATCCCGAGAGGAGAATGGAAGAGAAGGGATTGCGGCATGACCATCCCCCCTGGGGGGTGATTTCTCGCTTTCTGTCTCTATGTCTCTCTCTGTCTGTCTGGCGAGCGCACGCGTACTATAGCGAAAAACCCTCCAAAAAAAAAAAAAAAGATTGGAAGAATAGGACACAAATGATTCACAATGAAGTTTTATGTTTCAGGTGGTCACCACCAATATACAAGTTTGCAAAAGGGTTACGATCATATATAGCTGCTTTAAAAAATTTGACAATGACAAATATCAGAAAAAAATCCATTTTAAAGGGTCCATCTCTCATTTACACATCAGCAGTACATCTTATTTACATACACATGACTGAATTTTCCGTCTTCACAGAAGGTGTATATTTTAATGGGTAGGCAATTTATATATTGCTTTTATAGAAAGACTAAATACCCTCTTATTTACAAGCAGTTTTGATGATGCTAGTTTTGTCTCTATATTAAGGGCTGATTATAATTAAAACCCTAATGAAAAACATGAAAATGAAGATCCAGTATTCCCATTCCGTATGTGGGCCACGTGAGTTATTAAAGGGGTCAACTGCCTAGTCTGCGTAAATTACAGCTGGCAACCAGATAGGAAGCAGATGTGATTCTGAAAGCCTAGAAAAAACTGATGTGCAAGACATTAACCACTGCCTACTGCCACGATTGGGATGAATTCTGACACTGGGTTCATCCTCTCAAAAAACACTGATTTTTCTAGTGGTATTTAACTTTAAAAAGGTATCTTAGTTTTTTAACCCTCAGAGAACTGGTATATTTAGGCAACTAACTGAAAAAAATCGTCAGACGCATGTATCTTTGTTCATAGCCTCCAAAGGGTTAAAGTGCAGGACTTCTCTACAACCCGTTACATAAGGCACTATTCCACTTTTTTCTTAAAGGAAACTTTTTCTTTGGTTTCTTGTAATTTTTCAGTGAGTCTGTCTTTCGTTTCTTCCATTTTCTCTGTGAGAAGCTCCTTTGTCTCTTCCATCCTGTCCTGGAGATACTCCTTAACAGGTGGCGGTGTTGACATATAGCCGTGACTGCGCAGGTACTTCACGGTGAAGGATGTCCCTCCCAGAGTTACTGTGTACCGGGCAGGTGTTGCAATCTAAGGGGAAAAGCACACAGGAAGATCGACACTTGATTATGACCACTGTCTGATGCAAAGACGAGTTGAAATAAAAACTTTTTAGGTAATATCAAATCAGTATAAACTACACTACACTGTTTCGCAAGGCTAACGTGTAATCATTCCATTCAGTGTCCCCCTAACAAGGTGCTTCTTCTGTAAACTCCTTTATGGCCGTTTTGTCCCTGCAGAACTGACCTCGGGTTACAGAATTATCACAGTCAGCAGCACGGATGCCCACGCGCACATGCTAGTGAACCAGAGGGAGGCTCATTCGGAACCAGAGCAAGGGCTCGGCACCTCGAACAACGAAGGGCATGTGTCTCTATTCCTTAAAGTCCCTGTCAGTCTGCCAAATGCTTTATATGGGAGCTAAACTGCAATCGAACTCCTTCAGATGGTAAGAGGCACGGTGTAAGTCTCTGCTGGGCTTAGTGTGGCTCCTCAGCCCTTCCATTTGACGCTCTCTTTGACGTTTCCAGGCTCTATGCCACCTCCTCAAGCATCACAAGCCACCATGGGTCTGGAATCCTAGCTGGGAACTTCTGTGAGGCCAAAAGTGGTAAAATGGCACACACTACAGACAGGCACAGCGGCCCGAACTGATCACACTCACAGGTCACCACTAATTAACAGATGAGCCGGGTGAAGAGAGTAAGGAAAGCAAAGAGGCAGCATCGCCTTCTGAGGAAAACTGGAGGTGTGCTGATAGCACGCCGCCTCGTGTCCTCCTCCAGTTTCTCGCAAACTGACTCTGAGCTTCCTTCCCCTATTTCTTTTCTCATCAAAGTCACAGTGACCTCCATGAAACCAAATCCACCTGTCCATTTGTTGTCAGCCCTGGAACACAAGTGCCACCAGCTGCAGCTGTCACACGCCCTCCTTGGCACCTCCTCCCCTTGGCTTCTTCCTAGCTCCCGGCAACTGCTCTCCATCCTCTGCCCACCTGTGACCATGGTGTGACAGCGCTCAGTCCTGGCCCTTCCTTTCTCCACAGACCTCCTCCCTTGGTGGTTTTTCCAGTTTCGTGTCTTCAGTGCCATCTGTACAATGATCCTTCCACTTAGGTCTCCAGTCTGAGGCTCTGCCCTGACCTCCAGGATGTACAACCATCTGCTCATCGCTACTTGCCTGTCTAATAGAGTCCCGAACTTCCATGCCAACACTGACCTCCTGTCCTCCCTGTCCTGCTCCAAACCTGCTCCCTTCAGTTTTCCCCAGGTCAGGAAGTGGCAACAACCTACAGGATGGCTTCAACTCCTCTCTTCCTCTTATATAATTTATATCCAAACCATAAGAAAACCACACCTTCAAAATACATCTAGAATCCAGCTACTTCTTGCCACCCTTCCTGTCATCTAAGTCCTGGTGCTATGGCCTTCCCCCAGGCCAATGCGACACCCTCGTGCCAAAGTGAAGACTCACAGGTATAGAAACCACTTACAAAGATGATGTCGTCTACATCTGAGAACAGCCACAAAGACCTTGAACATCTAAAATGTAACATATGTAACATCTAACAACTAAGTCTAGGGTTTGTGACATAATACAATTTAAATTAAATCTTACTATCTTACTTGCTACGAAAAGATAAACTATTATAAACAGTAAAATAAATGCTAAATTTCATTACCAAGTCAAATGGTATGCTGATCACTGAATAAAGAAAAAATAAATACAAATAGAAGAAAGGTAAAAAAGTCTACTATGCTGGAAATACACAAGTTTAACTATCATCTGATCACACCAGGTTATAGACAAACGACTTGTTTTTTAAAGACATTTCTTCCTAAAGACATCATTTTATTTACACTAAAATTGTGTAACTTTATTCATTAGACATACAAGAGATTAAATAAAATGGTTTAAGTTCTCAAAAGAAAAAAGTCATTGGGCGCTAGCGTGGAATTTTAGGGAGGCGAGCAGGTCATCGTTAACCGAGACCAGTCTGCTCGCAGCAGTGCTTACCTTAAACATGGCATATGCTGTAAGTGCATTTCCACTCTGGGAGTTTTTCAGAATGTTTACTACACTGTCAGGTAACCCGATGAGTTCTAGAAAAGGAACGACATTCACTCCTCTGGGAAAAGAAAAAAAGAAATAATTTACATATAGGCCAACTTTTAAGGATACAGATCTTCAAAACACCAATGCCACACTTTGTTATAATCTGTATTCATTAAATTCTTTAAAAGTTGGCCCTGCATTATTAAGCACTTTAACTTTAGGGTGAGAGAACATCCCTGATGTGCAACATGCAACAGGCACACGCACATCACTGTCAGCTTCTAGGCTGCCTCCCCCACATGTGGGCATCCTCGTTAGTATATTTAGAAACAGAAGCATTTATTAGAGCAAAATTAATAGTGCTAAGTAAATGAAAAAGATCAGAATTAGTGATCTTAGTTTCTTGAACCGACCACCACTTGTTTAAAATGCTCCAGCTCAAATTCAAGACCTAACTAACACTTCTACCTTTAAAACTACACGTCAAACTATACTTTTACTATAAAAGCAATGGGTAATTTTTTTCTTTTTTTGGAGAGGTTTTTGCTATAGGGTGTGTGCGCTCACCAGAAAGACAGAAAGTGAGAAATCACCCCCCAGGGGGGATGGCCACGCCGCAATCCCTTCTCCTCCATCCTTCTCTCAGGATCTTGGGCACACACACACAAAAGACGCTGGGCCCGGGACTCAAACCGTAGTCAATTATGTGGAAGTCCAGCGACATAGCCATTAAACTAACTGCTGGTCCCAAAGCAAGGGTTATTTTAACATCATCTATTGTGTTTTTATGTAAAGAATAAATGATTCTATAGGTCTGATGAAAACTTCAATTATTCTAATCAGATGCTTTTATTCTGTTATCAGGATAAAAAGGCAGGTGAAGAAACAATTATCATAAATTAGAAGAAATTTGTGGAAGTGGGGAGAGAAGGCAGACAGTCTTCTACCACAGCTTTTGAGCCCTGATCTCTTTATTCTTAGTTTCCGGACTATCAGTGCTTGGCTACTCTGGCTCCTTCATCCCGAATCAAAACAAGAACATTCATCAACTTAAGCACGATGTAACTAATCGCTTTCAAGAAACTGAACATACGCAATAGGACAAATTTAAATAATCATCTACATTTTTTTGAGAGAGATTTGTTTGCTATAGGGTATGTGTGCTCACCAGAGACACAGAGAAAGACGGAGAGAAAGTGAGAAATCACCCTCCAAGGGGGATGGCCACGCTGCAATCTCTTCTCCATTCTCCTCTTGGGATTTTGGGCATGCACACACAATGCACCCAGCATGAGTTTCAAGCCACTGGGTCCCGGACTTGAACTGCAGTTGGCCATGTGGGAGTCCAGCCTCTTAACCACTATGCCACCTGCTGGCCCCAATAATTCACATTTAATTTACAATCCCTATGAAAATGCCCTTAATTGTCCCAGTATGTCCCTACTGCAGTTTTTTTCTATCACTAGTCTCCTGTTCTCTGGACGTATTTCCCAGCACTTTCAGTGAGGGAGGAGGGCAGGACAAGTGCCTAGACACCGACTGGTATTTTGAAGCAATAAAGCCAGCTGTATGGTAGGACAACTCTTGATGCGCGTGTCAGATTGCTCCCTCTCGAACAGATTTAAGTGAATACTTGCCCACAGGAAGCCAGCACAGTCAACGCCAGGGGCTTCTCCTGGGTCTGCCCCATGCTTAGTGTTACTGAGACTGCCTCTGGGTTAAGGTAGGGCCCACAGGCTTCCGCCGTCAGAAAGGAAACCGCCTGCATCCATTGTTATTGTGGTACTGTAAATTTTTACTTTATTTATACTAATAAAAAATAATTGGACTACCTGGGGAAATGTCCCTCTTCAATTTCAGCACAATACTAAGCAGTAAAGGAGTACTGTCAACAGAGATGAAGGATAATTAAAATCACCAATAGCTCAAAATAAGAGGGAACCAGAACTTACAGTCTTTTTTTAAATTTTTATTTATTTATTTATTTATTTATTTATTTATTTATTTATTTATTTATTTATTTATTTATTTATTTATTTATTTATTTATTTATTTATTTATTTATTTATTTATTTATTTATTTATTTATTTATTTATTTATTTATTTATTTATTTTTGGAGAGATTTTTGCTATAGGGTGCGTGCACTCGCCAGAGAGAGAGAGACAGAGAAACAGAAAGCGAGAAATCACCCCCCAGTGGGGATGGTCACGCTGCAATCCCTTCTCCTCCATTCTCCTCTCGGGATCTTGGGCACGCACGCACATGCGCCCGGCGTGAGTTTTAAGCCACCGGGTCTGGGATGCGAATCGCGGTCGACTATGTGGGAGTCCAGCGACATAGCCATTATGCTAACTGCTGGTTCCCCAGAACTTATAGTCTTAAAGAGATAAATTTGAAAAATCAATGACCAGTTCAATCTGGTTTCTTCTATACCCACTTTCATTTCTCGCTCCTTTTTTTTTTTTTTTTAAGGGAGATTTTTGCTATGGGGCACGTGCACTCACCAGAGAGACAGAAAGCAAGTGAAAAATCACCCTCCAGGGAGGATGGCCATTTGCAATCCGTTCTCCTTCATTCTCCTCTTAGGATTTTGAGCAAACATTCACATGTACCTGGTGAGAGTTTCAAGCTACCAGATCCAGGACTTGAACCGTGGCCCGCCATGCAGGAGTCCAGCTCCTTAACCACTATGCCACTTGTTGGCTCTTCAAGATTCTTTTTCAAATCTTCTAGGTAACGGTAGAATCCTATTAAGGTAAGATAAGGTTCACCACTACAGAGCTATTCCAGGGATCTAATCCGGTCATGAAAATAACCACAATTGGGGCCAGCAGATGGTGTAGTGGTTAACATCGCTGGACTCCTGCATGTCTAACCACGGTTCAAGTCCCAGACCTGGCTTGAAAATCACACCAGGCATGTGTGCATGCATGCCTAAGATCCCAGGAGACGGGACTATGGCATGGCCATTCCTCTCCCAGGGGCGAGGGTGATTTCTCACTTTTCCTCTCACTGTCTCTTTCTCTGGCAAGTGCACACACCCTAAGGCAAAAAACTTCTAAAAAAAAAAAAACCCCACAATTGACTATGTGCACTGACATACTGCTCTAACATGCTTGTGCTAATACTATTGTGAAATTACTTCATTAATCATTTCCTTGTTCCAACTAAGTCCAACATATAAATTCTGTACATTTAACAGCTGTCATGAAGAGTGGGAAAAAGACAAATATTTGGCCAAATATGAAAGTGAATGATAAAAAGTTTTTATCGCAAAGATTAGACAATAATAAATTCAGACACCTTGCACCTGCTACAACATCCTCTGCTTGTGAGATAAATAGCTCCTAGTTCCACATACTTCTAAATTGTGGATTTGATGGCATTCTTAAAAATTACTGTCATTTCCTTTGGAATTGCTAAGCATAAAGTCTGGTTAAATAGAAACACCTACTGGTTGTTACTTCCTTTAAAAAAGCAGGACCAGCAAAGAGCATAATGATAATGTTGCTGGACTCCGATGATGGACTCGGATGCAGTCAACTGCAGTTCGAGTCCCAGACCCAGTGGATTAAAATTCATGTTGGGCACATGTGTGTGCATGCCCAAAATCCCAAGAGGAGAATGGAGGAGAAGGGAATATGGCATGGTCATCCCCTCAGGGGGCAATTTCTCCTTTTCTGTCTCTGTCTCTCCTGCAAACACATGTGCCTTATAGCAAAAATCTCTCTAAAAAAGAAGAAAAAGCTACAGGACATGTACACGGGAGACAGAGAGAGAAAGGACGTCCAGATGGGGCCTGGTCATGCAGTCCTTCTTCCTTGGGTTTACCCTCCTCTCAGGATCCTGGACACAACATTACTGCTCAGAAT